GAGAAATGTAAATGGTGAAGGGTTCTGAAGGTGAAATTGGCATTTTGTGTCATCAGTACCGGGCGGAGTGATGAAGAACGGAAAGTTTCTCTAAGTGGAGCTAGGAAATGGCACATCCATTATGGCTCGTTTGATAAACCAACCCTGAGATACAATTCAAGAGCTGAAGTTTCTGTTTCTAGCTCTGCAGCAGCCTTAGGTAAATTCCAGGAAGTACAGTGGCTGTTTATGGGGGTAGGTTTTGGTGAGCTTTTCTCCTTTTTATTTTGCCATATTTTGTTGGTTGCGTGCTAAAACAAGACTGTTGAGGTCACGTTTTTTGCAGCCCAGACTTAGTCTCAGAGAGGCTGGATGTTTCCCATCTCTTTCATTTGCTACTTGAGCTTCTTACTTGGGAAAAATTCATTTAAGCACCGTGAAGAAAGCACATGTTTGGATTAAGTGATGTGGACTCCATTTTATTTATTTTTTTTAGATTGTAATGAAGAACTCGGGGTTGATATATAGACAGTATCCAAGTCACAATGTGATTGATACAGCAAATTTTGCGTTTCCTTGAACTCAGCAGCCGCTGCTGTGGGTTTTAGACTGTGATTTTATTCCCCCTGTCCCGCCCCTCACTGCTAGTCCTGTGCTGCCCACCTTGCTCATTCTCCATCCTGCTCAGCTCCTGTTTCCTTGCTTGTACTAGTACTGATAATTGTTATTTTCAGAAAAAAAGGGAATAGGATAAAATAAACTTAGTCTATACGGGTGAAAACATGGTAGATGTTTTCCAGGCTTCCATTTAAAGCTTTCGAACTGCACCTTGTGAAATCCAGAAATTAAACAGGATCCAAGAACATCCTTAGACCTTGTTTGTAGCCTGGGAGGTACTGAGCAGCTTCTAGCATCAGATTTATCAGACTTCTCAAGGTATTAAGGGGCACCCAGTATGTTTTAAGGTGTGATAGTAAGGAGTGATCTGGATTGTGTGGATCCTCAGGTGTCTTTGCTGGCATCTGTTACAGTCCTGACTGCCCTGGTGTACCATGCTGGGGGGACAAGACTGGTTTGAAGCCCAAATGAGTGTAACTGTTCATGTCATCAGCAGACCAGCTGATTGCACTGCTGATGAGCATGACCATGTGCAAAAGGCTAAGACTAAAACTTTCTAAAATTTGCTTTTGGTCTTTGTTGGCTGTAAGCACTTCAAGGTGTTTTTCTGTGGTGTCACTCTTTAGCTTGACTGAGCTAAAGGCAGATAATCAATATGGCTGTGATGGGCTTCCATCTCTCGTTGGAACCTGTTGTTGTGCTCACGTCTGCAGTGCTGTGGACTTAGGATCTGGTAGATCCATGCAGTAGATCTCAGTGGTCAGTGTTGGAAGTGTCTACACGAGTCCTGTTGCAAGAACAGAAAGAAAACTGTCGCTTGGATCTTCCCAAGCTCACAGTAGTCTCTTAGTCCATCAAGTTCACATCTGTCTTCCTTGCTTCTCTTTACGGCTTGCGCTTACAATTCCTATTTTGGGCAGCCAGTTTTTTCTTGAGTTTCTGCCAGGCTTCTCAATTCAAGTAGCCACCTGCCTGAGAATCCCAGAGCCAGACTGCCTTTGCTGTCTCTTGTGCATGAAGCTGTTAATTCTGCCAGGTGCTGTTGCTTTCCAAAGTAACTAATCAGTTGCTAAACCAGCCACGCAACAAGCATTTGTCCTCTGGTAAATGTTGGATTCTTCAAGCTCCTGTGTCAGAATCAGGTTTCAGTATAAGCAAATGGAGAAGCTCAATCCATTTCCTAGTTTCGCAATAAAACCTTTAATGGTGATCTGGTTTGACCCAAACTTGGGTGGAACTTGTTGTTTTCAGTTGGGCTTTTGCTCTGAGATTGGGATTGACAAATCAAAAAAATTGTACACCAGGTAAGTTTGCTTGCGACTTTGTGGCGTAAAAACTCAAGAGTTCCTCAGCCACCTTGTCCATGCCTGTGCATGTGATCTCAAATACAAATGCAGAAATACTGGAGGTCCTAATTTGTTGTAGATAGTATCTTGTTGATTTTTTCTCATTCTGAGAAGAATGGCTTTAGCTGGAAAGCCTCGTTCTCTTTCATTTTTTTTCTGGAAATGCTACTGTATTTGGTGGTTTCAGGTTTCTGTTTGAGTCTCATTTACTTACTTTTCATCTGCCTTTGATCTCTTTAGCAGGTGGTGCCATCTCAGAATTGTTGTGAAGACACTCGTCTTTATCTTCCTGTATTCTTTCCTGTATTGGCACCATAATGTGGGAAATAGATGAAATGCTCAGTCAGAGTGGACTGACTAATACAGCAGACTGTCCATGGATTCAGGGAGTGACTTTTGTAAGACATGAATATCGAAGAGGAAACGGCCTTCATTCCTCCTTAACTGCCTCTTCGTGGAACCGTGTAAGATGCTGACTCTCAGGTCATGCGGTTTGCAAAGAGACTGACTGGACTGCCTTTGGGCTGACCTCTCTAACTACCCCGAAAGGGAGCTGGTACCCAACACTCTGCCACTCCAGAGCCGATCAGCCATTATCTTTTAAACTTAAAAATCTTTTAAACTGTTCCTGGATTGAAGAATACCCAGAGCGTGTATTTTTATTCCTGAATGCCGTGTGACTGCGTGGCCTCCAAACTTCCCTTCCTTTGCTGTTAATTTTCATTTCAAGTGAGTTTGTTAAGTCTTTCTCCGCCAGCTGCGTTACCCCATCAGCTTTTCCCTTAGCTCTGCGTGACGTCTCCTGTGCTGACACGCTTAGTGAGACGCTGCTGCTGATTATGTGCCAGGTTTGATTTCATCTCAGGTGGATGGAGATCTAACAGGAAAGAATCAAGACACTCTCTGAAGTGTGCAAAGGATGTATCTTCATATTGTGAATATTTTAGACATGAAGGATGACTCTGCTCATGGGAGAAGGAACGAGTGAAAGTAGCTCTAGATAAATACTCAGTTTATATGCCTTCTTCTGGTCTCTGATATGTTGACAGTTTCTTCCTGCCCTTGCAAGTGTTTTTATTCCATCTTTTTCCTGCGAGGCGCCCTACCACGAACAATTGGTGTCCTCTTTAGCTGGTAGGTACTGGCAGTTAGAGAAAAAACAGAACCAACTGAAACAATTAATTTTTCTTTTATTCCCACACACACACGCTTCTGGATCAAGAATGAAAGGAAGAGGAATGCTAACAGCTCATTCCCAGCCATGCGTTAACCTGTTATTCCTTAAAAAAAAATTGTAATATTTTTCTTGTGGGAATGGGAAGAGACACTTTCTTTCTCCAGTACCTGCAGCCTGACACCTGTCTGTACTAGATCAACTGCCTGGTAAAAGAAAGTTTTCATTCCTAACGCCCCTTTTTTATAGACTTCTGTAGTTCCTATGCAATTACTATCAGATTTTCCCCAGATGTAATTATTTGAGTTTATCTCTATGTATTTAAATATTCAGAGTGTCCTGCAGACACTGAAAATGGAGGAGTCATAAAGGGGTTTATTATTTTGCAGTCGGAAGTATGCAGTAGTTGCATGAGAGATAAGCATGAGAAGAAGAGAGATGTTCTAAATCAGAAGGTTTCTAAAACTGGTATTTTAATTTCCTGCTTTGGTGCGGTGACCTGCTTCATTTAATGAAATTCATTCCCCTGTGTACAGTATTTTCTTTGTTCTTTCTGCTTGTAGGATGACTCGCATCTTTCCTGAATCACTGTTTTGTCAAATTCTCCCGTCTGTGGCGTGGCTCACCCCATGAGCTTTAAAAGATTCACAGGCAATGGTCCTCTAGCCTGTTTTGAAACGTATGATTTGCCACAGGCTCCAGCCTCCATCTTTGTTAAAACTTCTCTGTACAGTGTATATGTCCTTGGTTTATTTTCTTCCGTCTTTTATTTTATTTTTTTTTGGTATCTGTAGTTTTGTACAATATTTGTCAGATACTGGCTTGGCGGTAGCGTATAGCGGTGATGTTAGTTTTTGTGTTTGTAAATAAAGAGATGTGTTTTATTTCCTGAAGTCAATGGGTAAGTCTTGGCTTTTCCATGCATCTGTGATTATTTATATTGCAACGGTGTTCAGGAATCCTACAGCACAAACACGTGCCTTCACCGCAGCTCCTCTGAGGGATGCAGGAGGCTGGGGCTGGTGAATCCCTTCTGAATTCCCTTGCGGACTTGATGATCTCAGAGGTCTTTTCCAGCCTCAACAATTCCATGAGTACCACGGTGGGTGCCAACAGCCTGGTACGATTCTTTTTATGAACCTTGGGCTTCAGACTCGGGAGTTCTTTGTTCTCCCTCGGAAGTTTTGCTACGTTCCGACCCCGGCAGCGGGACTGTGACATCGGCACCGCGTGCTCACGGAGACGTGAGTGACCTCCCAGCCCTGCGTGGTTTATGTTGTCAGAGATAAAAAACCGCTCCGGTTGCCTTGGATTTCAGTGCTGTCGGGTGACCTAGAGGCTGAAATCGTGTTCTTAGGATCTCGGTAAATACGAGAGTGCTTTGGGGATATGCACATGGGAGGCAGAACTGTGCAGGTGCTGCGTGAGGAATTATCATTTCCTTATGCTCGACAGCTTTATTTTAAGGGTTCTGGTAATGATTACTTATAGTGCTTTAGAGTTGGAGGGGAAAATTAAACTGGAGCAGTACTTCTTTACAGTGGAAATTCGTCTGAAGTAGTAATATCTTGGAGAGAAGGCAGGGCTTAATCTTTTTTAACTTGTCAGATAGATCTCATTTGCTGGGATGTAGTAGATTAAAACGTTCTGTTGCCTTGTTACAAGAACTGAATTACTCTTCACGTTCCGACTGATGCAGTCATGTGTTGCATCTTCTTTGGCAGCGTTGTGCTTCAAGCCTGTCGTCTCGGGGGATTTTTTCTAGTGGAAGATGGTGCTGGTGACATGTCAGTTTAAAGATTTACAAAGAATGACTTTGTAGTTTTTTGACTACTGAATTTGTGTGACTTTAGAAGGCAACGTGTCTGGTTGATAACCCCAACATGAAGACCCTGGGGATCGGCCACATCCTTGTGATGTTACATTGTGCTCTCTACCTACCTTTGGTGGTTTCCTCTGACAAAGTCACCATCCCGCCAGAGCTGAAGTCGGTGGTGGCGAGAATTGCGGTCAACGCCACAGCCTGCAGCGTCACCTGTGGGCTGGGCTTCAAACTGGAGGAGCTGTGCGAGATCACTCCCTCCGGAGAGAGGAGAAATTGTACTTTGGAGAGGTCCGAGTGCCTCACCAACTGGATTTGTGGTTTGCTCCACTTCACTGTCCCTGCGGGCAAACCCTTCGAGCTCAGCTGCCTGGACTCTGACGCCAGCAGGCTCGGGAGCAGAGGCTATGGCTGGACGTGGAGCCTTGCCTATGGCCTCGTCACCACAAACGATGTGCTCTTCAAACCTTTTAAAAACCCCGAGCCCGTCGTCAGGTTTTCCGCCACCAGGGAGGCTGATGCGGGGACTTACCGATGCGACGTGCGGAAGTTGAAGACGCTCAAAGTCGTCAAGAGGATCTATTTTGGGGTCAGGGTGATCCAAAGTAAGTTGGTGGATCTGGACTTTGAAAAATCTTTGACTCGGGAACAGAAGTTAGCAGCGATTGAGGAGGAAGGAAACGCAGGAAATAGCACCTATGAAGAAATGCGAGAAAAGCAGAGCTTTGAGCAAGCAGAACTGTTATATAAAGGCTTGACAGTAGCTGGAATTGGAGTGATCGTGGCTCTCTTCGTGAAAACAATTCTCTACGTCCTGAAGATTTTCAAAAGGAGAGCTGCACAGCAATGAACTCAGATTTTATGCCATCTCATGTCTCCCTCTATTTATTAGTATTGGTGCAGTATTTCAAGGCAATGCTTCTAATTTTTTTTTTCCTTTCCTCTGGCCGCCACAGTTTCTATTAAATATTTTCCTAAGCTTCGGTGTCTGGTGAGTTAGTACTGGACTGTAGAACCAAAGTTTGAGTCTTAGTGGAGTGGTGCAGGCAGTAGCTCCGGGTGGGCCAAGGCAATTTGCCTCCACATTGTGTGAAAGGATGGTCTGGAATGGGCCAGGCAGGAGTTGGAGGACACTGAGCCACGGAAAACTGCTCTCTGCTCCTTGCAACCTGCTTCGCTGGGCTCCTTTATTTTACCTCTAAGTGTTGTTTGTTTTTTTTAATAAGTTGCGATCCTTATTCCTGTCTTGTTTCCTCAGATTTCTTCTGCCTTGCCGAGCGCTCTGTGACCTGACACAGCTCGCCGTTTGGCAGGTGGTGCTTTCATCACGAGGTGCAAAGAAGCTCACACCCTTGCGAGGTTTCCTGGCTCTCCACTGTCCTTTCCATCACACCCAAGCGGTCCAGTTTCAGTGGCTGTGGGGTGGTGTGGGGATGAGGGGTGGCCTCTCCTCAAGAGAGATTTTTCTTCCTTTAGCCTGGAAAGCTGTGAAGTGTTCAAGCGACACTTTTGTAGTGTGAAATAACGAAGCGGGGAGCGTTGGGTAGCACAGCAAATCTTCAGTTTGAGCACTGCTGCTTAAGAACATAACTGGATGGTTTTAATCATGTCTCAGAGCTGAGCTGATCCCTAAAATCTTTAAGGGGAGAGGAAAGGAAGAGTTCAGTGGGTTTGTGGATCTTTCATTTTTCCTGGTGATTAGTAAGTATGAAACATGCAGCGACTCTGTAGCGAGTATTGTTTCCCCCTTGGTAGCAGAACGTACAGAGAGACCTGTTAAGTGCCTTTTCTTCCTACTGTCTGTCTCTTACTTTGCAGCAAACACCTGTATTTACGGGCTGAGCCCACTGCTGCATCAGGCCCTGAATTCTCCCCTGGCCAAGTGCTGGTGGCAGCAAAGCTGGGGCCGCTGTCCCCCGCGGGATGGAGAAATGCTGGCTTTGCCTCTTCACCTTTCCTGCTAAAAACAAACACCCACAAGCTGTGAGATATCTTTGGGGCTGGCCCCCCTGGGTGAGGGTGAGTCCAACTATGCACCCTCCAACCGTATGCAACAGCATTTCTCTCTTGCCTCAAGCTTTCCCTGCTACTGCTGGAAACAGCCTGAGACGGGGCCTTGCCCCAGGCTCCAAGAGACGCTGGAGAGAGCTGCAGGGATGCAGTAACAGCTGCTGAAAAGCTCATTTAGATCAACTAGGGGCTAATGCCTGAAAGAGAAATATATACTGAGAGCAGAGAATTTGAAATCTGGTTTAGGAAACGTGGCGACGTGAGGCTGAGGTGACTGAAAAAAAAAAAGCAGATGATACAGAGGCAGAGCTCTTTTTGTCTGTTGGAGGTGAAGAAATGGGTGATCAAATTTGTGGATGAGAGACACCCATCACAGGAGTGGGGAAGCTGCACTCCTGCCCGTTCTGCTGCGTGGGATGAGACCTCCTCGGGTCAGGTTTGGAGCGGGCTGTGGGATCCCCTCTCTGCTGAAGAACTCTGCAGAGCGGGGAGAGATGTGCTTGGTTTGGGAGCTAATGGTTAAAATCAACAAAGAGCAGCTGTCCCATCTGGAAGAGCCTCTCTGCTCTTTGTAATGTAAATGCAGGGGCTTGCTTCCCCTGGGCAGCTGTGTTTTAGAAATGCAGAAAGATTACATGAAAGGTCCTGGACAATCCATTTTCTCACTGCTTAGCTGAGCAGGTCACAGTGGCAGCCAAAAAGGTCCTTATCTTTTTATTGTGTCCTCTTTTTTTTTTTTTTTTTAAGAGGAGCCAGATGACTGGAATGGAAGAGATTAATATTTTTTCTTTAATGCTTTTTTTTAAAGATAGAGGGCTGTGAGGGACAGTGCAGCTCCAGAGATCAGAAAGGGTAGGACTGGGCCTCTTCTGGACACCTGCTGTTTGAAACGGCACTTTCCTTGTGTGCTTTTGGAGCTCTGCAGCAATCTGAAAGTGTTCAAGGCCAGGCTGGACGAAGCCTTGAGCAACCTGATGTAGCAGGAGATGTCCCTGCCACGGCAGGGGGCTTGGAAATGGATGATCTTTGAGGTCCCTTTGAACCCAAATCATTCTATGATTCTGTGTTGGGTGATGTTTGCATTAGCAGGTCTGCTGGGGATGGAGGAGGGAAGGGAGAGCTGGAGGAAGGAAAGGTCACAAAAAGGGAATAGGGCGAGTCAGAGGTGTGGGAGGTCGGTGACAGCAGGTGAAGCAAGGACCTTTTGAAACAGCTAGCTCTCCCGTCCCTGCATTTCTTTCTGTCTCTTCCTGTAATATGTATGTTTTCTTTGTCATTGTCCCTGCTATTCCCAACATAACTGACTAAATTACAGGGGAAAAAAAACCCCGGTGTCTCTTTCTGCTCTGAATTGGTGCCTAAACTTTTTTTTTTTTTTTAGTTTGTCTGCCTCACCTGGAGGAGAGGATGGCAGGGACTGCACCCAACCCTGTGTGTTCCCAGTTCCCAGCTGGAGGTTTTTCTGTCCTACAGACCTCTGCTGCTGGTCCTGAGTATTAGGAAGCAATTAGTATTGTACATACTCAAGCCAGACAGATTGTGTGAGGGAGGAAGTCAATTTGCTAATGGCATTAGCACTTGGAAAGAAGAAGGTAATAACAGAATGGTGAGGCATAGGCAGCTGTTTAAATTGCTGTTATCTACTGAAGCTTATCTAAATTGAATAAGTAGATTGCCTTAACTGCTGGATCTTGAATGGCAGCAAAGAGGAAAACAAACCCCATATGCTGCTTTTGCACCAACTGACGGGCTGACTCTTCCACCCTCTGCACATTGATCTGTGTTAATTCTCTTACTTGTTCCTGCTGTTGCCTGCAGCAGTTCAGGGATCTGCTGGAATCTATCGGATGGTGCAGCTCTCAGGCTCTCATGTTCTTGTTCCCCCTTTCCCACTCTGCGCTTTGGCTGATTTATCCAGTATCTCATTTACCATATCTCAGTCCTTCGCACAGGATAAAGGAGGTAGCTGGAAATGTGGTAATTTTCTTTAATGACCTTTGGGTCTGTAAAATATCTTTCCTAGCCAGGTATTTTGGAGCGTTTTATGAAATAGCAGTGGATCTGTTTCTGTGGAAGCAGCAGTTGGTGAGCTGGTGCTGGCTCTCTGGGACCGATGGGTGGAGGTGATGCCTTACAGCATCCTTCATCCCGTGTTGGCGTGCTCTCTCCGCAGGGCTGTGCTTTGCCTTTCCAGTAGGACCCGTGTGCTTGTTGGCGAGGAGGCATTTGTCTCCGTGATTTATATCACGTGCAGCGGCGTGTAATGATGGCTCTTGAGAAAGCAGGAGCGCCCTTGCAGGGGACGAACTGAGGAGGGATTCATCTCGGTCTCGGCCGCTCCCCGCTGGTTTCTTTAATGATGCTGCCCTCACCTTTTCAAAGCCCCTTCGCGGCAGAAATCCCCGAGCTAATTACGGCGCTCGTGATGAGCGGCCTCGCCTGCAGCTCTGCAGAGCACGGGGCAAAGGGGCAGGAGCCCGCCTGGGGTCTGAGGACAGCTGAGCCCACCCTTGTCAGACCCTTTCTTGGGTGTGTTTTGCCATCAGGACCCAGAGGTTAGGGACTAGCAGCGTTTGTGACAGCCAGCTGTGTCACCTCCAGCTGTGGGTGGCTGGAGCTTCTGGGAAGAGGAGGAACAGCTGCTTTCCCTCCATCCATGCCTCCTCAGGGACTCAAGAAGGGATCTTGGGAGCACGTCTTGCCCTATGATCAAGCCTGGTGTTTCTTTTAGGGGCTGCACGAAAGTGAATGCGTCCAGGGTGGGCTGAGGGAGAGGGTTTGGCTGAGGTTCCCTGCGAGCCAGGGCTGCTGAGCCCCGTTTCCCCTCTGTCCGCTCTCCAGCACGGCTGCTCCTGGCTTCAGCTAAACCCCAGTGCCTGTCTCACTTAGAGCTGTTCCAGGTGATCTCTTGACAACCTTCCCAGAGGTAGAAGGAAGCCAATAGATTGGGTTTTTATTTTTTTTTAAAGCCAGAAGGAGTGACTGATGAATTAATCTGATGTAACATAGACCAGATGATTTCATGCAGTGCTTCTTGCAATGATGGAAAGTATTTTCTATAGTGTAAGTGAACCTTTGCAAGCCTGCTAGCTTGTGGCTGATCTAGGGGATAGCATTCTTGGAAGACTTCCAATCTTGGTTTAAAGGCTGTGATTGACGATGAAGCTTTTTGGCAAGATTTTCCAATGAGCAGTTACCCTTTCTGCTAATAAGGGGCAAGGAATTTTTACTTTTGAGTGTTCTAGCATTACTTCCGAGCCATTGGAATACCAGCCAGAGGAAGCATATTATATTAACATCTTTAACCAGACCATCAACCCCCTCCAATTCCTTGCCCCAAGGACAGTCTCTCCTCTTTTGGCTAGTTATCACTGTCATAGGACAGAATTTGAATTTCTTATATACTTATTTACTAATATATACTTAACTTTTGCTGAAGGGTACAGCTCCATGTAGATGGGATCTCGCTGGGCTCATTGTTTGTGTTAGTATGTGCGATTGGCAGTCGGGAAAAATATAGTCCTGGGCCAGGGAGACTCGAGCAAGCAAGGTACTAATTGCATTTAAAGCTGGACTGAAGTACTCCGGACTCCAGTAGTAGTCTAAAGTCTCTGAAGATCTTTATTTATGAACTGCGTGCTACTGGAGCCAATAAATAACCATAGTTACAGTAAGTACAGTAGGCTTACAATGTTTGCCGATCGGTTTTCTTAAAAAAGTAGTGTACAACAAAGTTACTGGGAAGAAAGCTGCCCTGTTTGTGTGTAGTGGGGCCGGATTAAAATTATTCACAGCAGAGGGTTTCTGTGGATGGGGGAATAGCTTTGCAGGTTTGGAACAGATGGGATTTAGACCCTCCCAGGCATTAGCTGAATGTGATGCTTGTGTTATCCACCTGATTCCTTGGGCAAAGCTATGAGCGTCTCCCACTCAGGGCACAACACTTCATCTGTCCTGCTGCAAAGGGGAGCTGTTCAAAAGTTCCTGATTCAAACTCCTGCAGCTGAGAGCCAGCCTAAAACCAGAAGCGCAATTTTCAGTCTGCAAGTTCCATAGTATCAGGTAGAAGACTGTTCTATGTTAAACATGAATATATCAGAACTGTAAAGCTCCTCTCCAAACATTTCCACCCTTGCAGCACCCTGTTCAGGTTGGGTTTTAGTATTGACAAGTAAGATGAACCCTGTGAAATGAGATGACTTTCCTTAGCGAGCCGTTACAAAACCCACAGCACTTAACTCATCCCTGTAAGTTAATCTCTAAAGCAAATGCCCAGAGCGATTCAGTGTAGGGGATTCTTAATGAGACAGGATATTGATCTGCAACTTAATGCAGTAGCATAAAGCCAGTAAATTCTGTTTAGATGCTGATATCTAAGTTTTCTCCCCCAGCTCTGAACACCTTTTCTTTTAACCCCCGTTCTGCATTTTAGGAAACTCTTAGCTGGCTTCACAGTAAGCTTATTCTAAATCTTTTGTTGGTGACTTTGGCCAGGCTTTAGATGTAGTTTTTCTAGAGCCTGGATGAAGTTTAACTAGGTACAGATGCTGCAGTTGCATGTGCAGATCCTTTTCTGTGGGTGAGCTAACTCTCTGATAAATAAAATGGCAGAACAGACTGCCTAAGACAAGGTGGCCTTTGTCTTAACGTGGCTCGTGTGTGGGTACAAAAACTGAGCTGGGTTTAGCCTGTAACCGCCTGGGCCTGAACTTGGCCTTTCTCAACCCCCAGTGTTGCAAGTGGAAAATCTTTTCTGTCCCACTGCCTCCCCAACGTGCCCTGTCCTTCACCCGAGGTGTTCCCCTGTGCTTATCCGAAGAGTTTGATAATGTCTCGCTGGCTTTTTTGCTCTGCAGCTTTGAAGTATCAACAAATACCCCTCAAAATTCCAAACAAATCTATGGGAGAGAGGCAGCCTGTTCACCCCTTGCATGGTTTAGAGCAAGTTGTAAGGCTGTTGTGATTATCACTAGGTCGTATCTTTTTGCATCTATTGGTAATCCTTAAAATACTGCAAAAACTCAGCAGTGGTTTGGGTTTAAAATGATGAAATGGTATGTACTGATGATTTACCTTCTCAAAAAAGAGGCGTAGCTTGGATTAGATTGAAGACATTGAACTTTCAAGGGGATCTGCTTGTCATCTGAAGGCTTTAGAAAATAACTATCCCATCAGTTTTACAAATTAAAATATGTTCAGCCCATTTGTAATGCAGAGCAGTGCAAACTGGAACGTTTGAAATCCAACTCATGTAGGCTTAGCGTCTTAGGTGAAATGTGCCTGTGAAGTAGTTTGAACAAAGGAATGTATGGAAAATGTATTAACCTTCCCAGGGAAACGCTGCAGGTGGCAGCTAGTGAAAAACCAGTGTCATCGCAGCATCTAGATACTGGCTTCACTGTGCCATAAAGCATCTTGTTTTCCAGCACTGTCATGTTCAATAAAACAGACGGAGCCACCGGTGTTCCCGGGCACATTCGGAAGCATCTGTTGAGACCGAGTTTCTGCAGGAGACGTTGCGTAGCCTGCGCTGAAGCTCGGCCCTTGACTTCTGCAGGAGCACCTCGCTTTGCTCGGCTTGCTTGTGAGAGCTCGCCCAACACGTGGACCATCAAAACACGTTCTTCAGCCCTGGAGGGGCCTGGGGCACCTCTTGGAGCGAATGAGCTGTGTCCGTGCGAGGGCAGTTAGTTTATCCCTTCAGAATCATTCTGGCTACAGCTAGTTCTGCATGTCAATCAGGTAACTGTTGCCCAAGCCCTGATTTCCTTTGCTGTTGTGCTAACACTGAATTCCTAATTTTCCTTTCCTCCCATCTTTTGTGGGAGGGAGGTCGAAGGCCCAGCAAGGTGCAGGGGGTAAGAAAAACACTGAATCAACAACATAAAACGTTTTGCCAAACAAGGCTTTCAACTGTCAATAAAAATATTTTAAAATCTTCAACAACGTAAATCATACAAAAATATAATTTATATTTAGCTGCTGTCCTTCTGAAAGAAGGGTTTCAGCCTGCTCGAGGGACAGAGGGGGTAATTTTTGGAGAGCTGCAGAGGGACCTGGGGGAAGCTCGGGACAGACTTCAGGCTGGTTCCCTGCCTGGGATCAGTGGGAGCTGTCGTCTTTTCCACTTTATCTTGAGTGTTGTTTGTTATGGAAGCTACCCTTTCTTCCTGCTGCAAATGTTTAGACTCTTTCCTTAAGTTTATTTTGTCTTTGCCTATTTCTTAACACATTTCTCTTGTTTACTAAACATGTAGGAGCCCTTCAGCCTCAGCCCGGAGCCTTGCTCTTTGCATCGCGCGGTGTGACCCTCCCGGGGCGTTTACCTTCTCCCTTCCAGGGCAGGCCAGGCACTAAAAACATTGGGATGGGATACTGTGAGTATAGGCAATAAGCACAGCTTTGGGAGGCCGGAGGTTTATGCATATGATCCCTCAAATGCCTGCTCAGGCCTGGGACACGACAGTTTTTAAGGGATTCGCAAGGGCAAGGGCTTGGCACCTGGTGCAGAAGCTGTGTCAGTCCCTTCTCATCGCACAGTCCCTTTGTCAGGGAGTTCTGGAACCCGGATTGCTCAGGCCAGCGGTGTTGTCTGCTGTGAGGGAGGAAGGTGCGGGCGGGGAAAGGTCCCCAGAAGGGTTCTTGGGGTATAGCCAGGAAGCAGCGTAACTCAGCTTCCGCTTCACTTTCGTCAGTTGTTTCACCAGGAGACAGGGGGATTTTAATATGCGACCTCTTTCCCAATCGTGTCGGTTAATGGTGCCGCCCTGTATGCCTTTGGCGTGCCAGCCCTCCCATTTACAGCAGCTGTGTGAGCCTTGCACCTGAAAACCAGGCTGACTTACTGGTTGGGTCACAATGTGGCAGTTCCCAGGTCGAGACTGGATTTTGGCTGGATGGAACTGGTTGTGTAGGGAGAGGAACCTGACCGAGGCCAGATTTTCCTTGCTGCCCCAGCGATGGCTTCCTTGAGTCTCCAGTTCTTGGTTAAATTAGGTAATATTCCTTTTTTTCCCTCCTTCAAGGCCCTCTCTCTATTGAAATTGGATAGGTTGACATCTCCGTTATTAGGCAAAACTACCTTTCCAAACTGGAAAATGCTAGAAAGCTTAGCCCTTCCCCTCCCCAATCAAAAAGGAAAGAAGCAAACAGCGTAACAAACCCCCAAAGCATATGGGAAATGGGTAACATTGGATGTTGCACCTCACAGCATCACAGTTGATACAAACAATAGGCTGGGCTTGCAAGTTAACACCAGTCTTGTAAAAAAAAGCTCTTTTAAACTTTGTTCACTGATCTTCAGCATGGGGCAGTGATCAATCTCTCTCGTGGCTTTATCTCCTTGAGCTGGTTGCTGCAGAATTTGGCTTGTATAATGAGGGGTGGAGAGGAGAAAAATGCTGTCCCATAATTTTTAGAAATGCCTGTGACTGGGGATCGGTATGGAACATGCTGATCATTGCAAAATCCTCAGTCCCCATCCTCCCCTTACCCCCCCAAAATTCGCTGTACAGATTTAAAAATAAAAAGTCGGGTTTAGCAGTCTCATTATTTTAGTACATGGCTTCATAAGGCAGAAAACCTACTGGATGAAGTTTGTGGGGCAGTTGGCTGCCAGAATTCGCCTAGAATCCTGCTTGGTTTCACTCGTTTCTTTAAAAAAATTTTCAACTCCTTAAAGACCCATGTCTTGTATGAAAGCTTATATTCTTCCAAAATGAACGAAAAAGGCCGATTCTTTCTTCCTCCCTTAAAACAATGTTGTCGAATCAATCCTTTCTCCTGCAGTGCTGCCGTGGAAGTTACGGCAGGTGAGTACTGAGTAGTTCCCCACCGGCTTGGGAGGCAGCGCGTCCGGCAGTCCTGTGCTGCGCTGGCCGTCGTCAGAGCTGCAGGGAGCTCATCAGGGCCACCATTACTAGAGAGTTAGTTGTGATAATGACAGCGTGTGGCACTGGCCTCGTCACAGAGTCTTCCACCATCATACTTGTCCCTGGAAAGAAAGGGAAGAGGGAAGGAGCAACCGTCTCTTTGCGCGGCTGGACGTCTTGTGGAAAGAGCTGGGGGGGGGTTGGTGAAGCGTTAGTTCTGGGGTTCTGTGTGCTCGTGGTGTGGCTGTTAGGACTAAATCATTGCCTGTCAGAGAGCAGTGGGAGCAGATGACAGGCAAGTGGTTCTGCAGCTTAACTCCTCTCTCTGAGCTCATTTTCCTGTGCCCTGGCAGCAAGTGTTTGCGCACAGAGGGTGTGTAGCCGGAGGAGCGTACGTACCACTGTTTCTGAGGATGTGAACTTCTGCTGGGATCCCATCTCCCCCGGGGCCTGTCACCCTGATCTGTACGAAGGCATGAGTGAAGTCCTCCGGGACAGGGATGTCAATGCGGCTCTTGCTGGCCAGGTATAGTGTGGGAGCAGAGTGGGAATCCTGCCTGTAAAGCATCTGTTGGAAGAGGTAAATCCGAGTTTACGCTCACTGTGCTTTCCTTAGGGTCACCTATAAGAGAGGGCCAGCTACGGGCTGCCTGTACCTTGTACCCCGTAACTGCAGACTCATCTGCCTTCGCCACCACTGGGTCCCACTTGATGCTGACCATAGACCCAGAAAAAGTCCAGGAGATGTTGCCAGGCGGCCTCTTTGGTGCTAAGAGATAAAAAACAAGACAGAGACTCAGTCAGTCAGGGACTGATGAGGAGGTTTGTGCTGGCTACAACCGTTTCCTGGGACTCTGTGGCTGGTTGACAGGGCTGAGGGCACCTTTGCGGCTGGTTTAAAGGGAAGCACCTCAGCAAAGATTGCTCTGAACATAGAGAAGAGATGCAAGAGAGAAAAAAGCTGCTGCAGTTGGCTGATTGTTGGGGATCCTCTGGAGGAAGCAGCAACCCCAGGGAGTACAAGGTGTGAAACGGAGGTGGTCAGGGCTCACTCACGTGGTTTGGTTGTCGTGACGTTGGTGGAGGGACTGGGGGGGCCAGTTCCAGCCCGGTTGTAAGCTCTGACTGACACGTGGTATTTCGTGTTGGGGTTTAGGCCAGTGACATGAGCTGATGTGACCAGCCCCGCTGTTCTCACTCTGTCAGCTGCCTCCTCTTTATCACCATCCTTCCAGTACCGAATCTGAATAGAAAAGGATATGATGGGTTTAGTAAGGATAGAGGCATCTGCAAACACCAGCCTCGTTCCACCCACAGCCAGCGCTGGAGACCCTTTGGTATTTGTTTCTGTGCTTTTTGCTTAGTATGTGCCCAGGAATGAGGTTACAGCCTGTGTGGAAAGGCAAGCAGGATAAAAAACAAAAAAAGAGGATGTTTCTCTCTTGTTTCTCTCTTATATGGGCCCCATTAGAGCATCGTGCTGCCCATTAATTATCCTCCACCTTTGGAAGCAAAATGCTATTTCCTTTCAGCTCACTTAGCCTGGGGGAGTTTTCTTTGCTAGGCTCTCCAGTCTCAGTTTCAGTGACTCGTGTTCCTGTGGCAGGCGCGTACCTCGTAGCCCAAAAGCACTCCCGTCATGTCTCCCTGCTCCACGGGCTCCCAGGACACATCCATTTCTGAGGACAGAACGGCCTTGGCCATAACTCTGAAAGGAGACACTTTCGGTTCTGAAAAAGACAACAGAAGGGAATAAAATCCTTTTCCTAGCTCCGGGCAGCATATTCACCCTACTGAAGGAAAGGGCTCTCCTGCGGCCCCGTTACCGTGCCGCCAGACAGCCGGCGTTACGTGCACGGAGCAGAGCAAGGGGAAGGGATTTAGGGACTTAGTAGGACAAGCAGGGCCACAGCTGTGTGCTGTGAGGATCTGTGTCTGCTCTGAAGCTCGGGGTGTAGAGTCAGGGCTTAGAGAGACATCTGTCTGTTTGAAGTAGAAGATAAATGTTATGCTGAAATCACTGTAAAGAAAGAAGAAACCTCTCCTATCACTGAGCTCCGGACAGACGCGGCTCTGCAGGGAGCTGGCTGGGGACACGTTGGCTGGTTGGACAAAGCACGGGGAATTCGGAGTCTCTGCAGACCCTCTTTACCTTCCTCTGCAGAGTACACGATGGCAGTGAGGCTCTCTGGTCCCTCTCCCTTCCTGTTGTACGCTTTGATCTTCACTTCGAAGGGGGTGTAGGGACCGATGCTCTCGTTGCGGTAGACGTAGTGCAGTGATTCCGCGTGCGGCACCCTCGCCGTCATCCACCCCTGGGTGCCTTTCTTGCGAAACGACACGATGTAGCCAAAGCCGTCTCCGTTCTGATAGTCCCGCAGCGTCGGCTGTGGGGAGGGTGTGGAGAGAGGAGCCTTCGTCCATTCAAACGAGCAAGACTTTGGCCCAAGCCCAGCGTTTGGCTCGGCCATGGATGGAAATTGTAACGGCAACACTGAATGGCACGTGCTCCTCCCGCGTGGGCGGCTGCTGACTTACCGTCCAGTTGATGATCAGCTCGTTGGGAGCCCCTCCACCTCCGCTGAGCCCAGATGGTGCCACAGTAGGTGCTGTCGGGTCCCCAAACAAAAGCAGACAAGTGCAGGTTGGGTGAAGGAAACAACAGTGATGAAGATGAGCACAGACACTGCATGGTCTGGGAGTAGCCAGGCTTTGACAGCTCGTATGAATGAGCTGGTCTCTATGCTTTCAGCCATGAATATTTCAGATGTTTGTGAAAATCAGGTCTAGAATACTGGCTAGTGCCTCACTGGCTTATTTGGAGGCAGCATGGCTCTGAGGGGACAAGAATAAAGCTCAAAAGTGGGGATATGGAGGAGAGCCTTTATTAGAAGGAGGTTGATAAGCGTTTGGTACGTTGAGAGCAGTTCTCTCGCTGCTCTTGCATCCCTTCTGCTCGCACGTTCAAGCAGCAGAAGAAAGAGTGAACAGTCACGGCCATTTGCTGGGAGATTTACATTGTCTTTGCAGAGTTGTGCTCTGTGATACAACAGGGCACTTTCCCTTTCCTAAGCATTACTGCCTGGAAGGGGCAGGATTCCAAGGACCTTTAATATATTGTACCTAATGCTGGTGAAGTTAGCTGCCAGCTCTGGTCCTGCTTCGCCTTTGACATGTAAATGGGCAAAAAGGCAGAAAATTTTGTGATAGCATCACTTCCAGGAGCACTCAGGGAGATGACTAATTGTTTGGGCCCAAGGCATGCTGCGAGCCAGCCTTCCCCCTCCAGCACACAGGGACAGGTAATTCTGAATCCCCTTTCTACCTCTGAGCGTATCTGTACGTACCTGCTTCTTTGGTACGGATTTTACTGGAGGGTAAACTTGGCTCTCCAACTCCAAGAATGTTACTCGCTAAGACCCGAAACTCGTAATCCATCCAAGGGATGAGGTTCACCACCTGGGCTGTCTCTGCATTGCCTTCAATATTCACAGGATCTATATAATCCAGTAACACGAGAGGAGAAGAAATAGAGCGAGTGGCAGCCGGCATACGGGCACAGAGCAAGACCTTGCCAGCGAGCTGGTGCCCCACAGCCGGCGTGGGCCGTGGCACCAGTGCTCCCATTAAGATACTTACTGGTACGCATCTGCTTCCATCTGTTGGAGAGGAGGGTCCGTGCCTCCACGATGTACCTGGCAATGGGGCTGTGGTTATCAAAGCCGCGGCTCCAGCTCAGCTGGACGGTGGTGTCACCGATGTCTCTCACCACCACCCCCCCGGGGGGGCCTGGAGGTCCTGGGATGATGGAAGACAGGCAGGCACGTTACTAAGATGAAAGATTTGGAGGCTTTATGCTCTTCATCTTGTGCAGGTTGTCGCTGAAGAGCAGGCTTTTCTTTTCTGGAAGCTGGGAAGCCTCACGTCCAATTTTGGCCTCCAGAAAGGCTTGTAGGGAGCAGGGGACCTTAGGACAGAGACGTTACCTCTGACGGTCAGCGTGGCTGACTCGGAAGCGCTGTCCACCACTGTCTGGGCTGTACACGTGTACCGCCCCGAGTGCTTCAGCTGGGTATTGAAGATGCTGAGGTCCCCGATAGCTTCCTTCTGCGTGGAGAAAACACAGCAGGGAGAGCGTTGGAACACGCCTCATCACAACCCAGCGTTCATGCTGAAACGAATGAAGAGGTTTTCTGTCCTCTTTGATGGTAGGTAATTGCCTTCTCTACTCACCGCGCTGGCTCGCCGGTAGTGCCCCTCAGACTTGTCGAAGTCAATGGGGAAATCGTCTAGGGCCCAGGTGAAGGTTAGGTCCATAGTTGGATCGTGGGACGCGTGACACTGTAGGGTAAGGTTTTCACCTACATTGATGTCAGCACTAGATGGTGCCAATGTGATTTTGGTGGCATCTGCAGAGAAAGAGCGGAGCTTTTAGCTGCCAGTGTCCATCTACCAGATAGAAACGAGTGCTGCAGAGCATCCAGACCAACTAATGCTTTCCAACTTGTCATCCCTCTCTACCAGCTGCAGTTTTACAGGGGGAAGATGAGGGATTATGGTGGTTAGAAAATGGAAACACCTTCCGCAAGGACCAGCAGTTGGTAGGTGTGATTTGGTGGGTCGGGCAGAAGGTTTGCTGCTCCCCAGGCAGAAATGCCCTTGATACCCTGAATATTTTGTTGATTTTTGGGAGTAGAAGGAGAAGAGAAATATCGTGGCATATCACACCCTAGCATTCTTAGATGTTTCTTGCTGGATTGACCCCAAGTAAAGGCAAACACCTCTACCTCGAACAGAGAGGATTCCAGTGCTGTTGGCTTTGCCCATGAAATTCTCAGCAAAGCAGGTGTACTTTCCCTCATCAGACTTGCTGATATTCTGGAGGATCAGGGTGCCATCTGTGGTAATAGTCACCCTGGAAAGGAAGAAGAACCATACACGAGGAAGGTTAAAATGTCTGTTCACTGTCTACACCCGACAATTTCCAGCACTTGCTGATTTTAGAGAAGTAGGTGATAAAGAAGGGACTGCAAAATATTACGTAGGAGTTTTCTATAGAAAAAAACTAGAGGAATAACGAAGTGCTTATGTTCAGGGATGTAGCAGCACAAGTTAGGTCATCAAGTCCAGTCTCCTGGCAAGAAAAAAATGTGGTTTTTAGCTATGGTTTCTAGGTAGAGGCTGACTCTGTGCTGCTACCTGCTACTGTTGATCAGAAGCTCAGTCCCTTTGGTCCAGAGCACAGTGGCTTTTGGTGCTGCTCTTGGTTGGCATGGGATGATGACCTTCCCGCTTCGGGCTGCAGGTATCAGTCGCTTCACTGGGTTTAGTCTGAAATCTGGTGCTAAGGCTACAGGGGAAAGAAAGAGGGTTAGAGAACGATTAGAAAACCCTGCTGTGTGAGCAGTTTAACTGCCACGTCACCAGGTATTGCTTTGTTGTTAGATGGCTTGGCAACAGAAGCATGGCAGTATCTGGTGAGCGAGATGAAGGAGGGCTTCCTCTGCTGCCGGGCGGTTTGTGGCGCCTGCCGAGGCAGGCGTTGTGTGACACGTGTCGTACTTAGCGATGGGGATGGGACCCTAACAAGTGCAAGGTCTTTGAGAGACACAGGAACAGCTGCTTTGGAAAATATAACGGGTGGTCGATATCCTGACCGAAGTCACCAGTGCAGATACCCCAGCTTGCCTGAAACTCCTCCTGGAATTGCAGAGATAAGTTTGTTCGTTAGCTCTTGCCCTCATGCAGAGCAGCGTGTTAATGTTAAACAGCTGATGCTTCGGGCCTTTAATTTATCTCTGGCATCTACCGACCAGGAGGAGATAAGCTTTTAGAGTAATGTGGAACGAGTTTGGTTTCAAGTCCGGTTTCAAGTCCAGTTCCAGTCACCATCCATCAAAGCAGGCTGAATGGACACTGAACTCCTTCCTTTGACCTCTTTCCTCCAAAAAAGAAGGCGGCTGTGTAGTGGAAGAGCGCTTGTAGTGCTGCTGCTGCTGCCTGTCCTCTACACTGTCTGTATCTGAACAGATGTCCTTGTTCTCTTTTAGTGTTACTGAATTTACACAAGATTTAAATTTTATAGGGTTGTAGAGTGTCTCGGTGAACCAGCAACTACCTTTCAGTGGTGAGTAAAGCAGTTTTTGTCTGCTCTTATCTTACTCTGAGATGGCAAGCATAGGGTATTAGGGAGAGATTAAAATTCTTCAGTGTCCCATTGAAACCCAGAGCACTGGGAAACGAGAAATTACCTTGCACTGTTAATTCAGCACTTGCATATACTGTGCCATGCTTGTTCTCAGCCACACACTGATACATGCCAGAGTCCTCCAGGACTAGCTTGGAAAATCTCAGCTCTCCACCGCTCACTTCGATGCGGTTCTGTGCAAACAAGAGGATGAACCCATTAGATGAGAAGAACAAAAATGGAACTCAAGCCTCGGGTGTTCAGGGTTGAGTTTCATTACAGACTCTTGTGCCAGTTTGAAGCCAGCCTGATTTTCCAGAGGGGAAAACGCAGGATGGGTTTTTTTTCCATCTGCCCAGTCACTAGCCCACATCACCGTGCTCTGTTTGCTGAGACTGCTGAGCAGCAACGTGCAGGTCGTACAGAGACAGGTACAAGGTGCTGTTTATCCGCCTTGATAACTGGCTGTGAGTTCCTGTAGTTGCATGAAGCAATGGCTGGGATGGCAGTGGCGGGAGAAGGGACTCGCTGCGGGTAAGGACTGTGGCATCGCTTTGCAGCCTCATGGGGGCACATGGCATAGGGATGCAGGGTGATAAAAGGGGGCTGAGATGAGTTTGCAGCGAGGCGGCGGAGGGGCTGAGTCTGGAGCGGCAGGTTCAGGGCTGCGAGATCTGGTGGGAGGGAGCTGGCTGAGCCGCTCTCGCTGTCAGACCTGGGAGGGTACCTGGGAGGTCAGCGGCTGCCCGTCCCGAACCCATCGGGCCGCGGGCCTGGGTTTGCCGGCAGCCGCGCAGCTCCAGCGCAGGTCGGACCCGATGTCGGCTTCCGTGTCCGTGATCACCTTCAGCCACTCTGGCTGAGCTGCGAAGGGGCGAGAGAGGTGGCAGAGCCAAAAAAGATCAGGTGAGAGGTTTGGTGTGCCAGGCGGGCAGAAGGATGCTCATTGTGTCATCTCTGCTGGCAGATTGATTTATCGCAGCGCGTTTCGCCGCGGTAACAGCCTTCGCCTTTTGTGCAGCCATGCGAGGCTGAGCCCTCTGTGGGTCTGGCTGCAGCTGTGCATGTGGGCTGCTCAAAATTAGGGCAGAATCCAGATCTGAGGAAGAACGTTGTGGTTTCTCTTCTAAAGAGTAAATGCAGTCGTTCCTGAAGTTCAGGAAAGACTGGAGTCAGACCCAGATAATCAGGTTAAGTTCTGTAACTTGACTAGATCTGATCAGTAGCTCCAAGTATTAACCCTTGTGCATGTACCCTAGGCTTGGGAGAGGATCTTGGTTGAGAGCCAAACTTGATTTTTACTGCTATGCTTCCTTCCCTGCTTACCCCATTTTAGCTAGAATTATTTTAGAGCAAGTTAGGGAGTCTCTCTCAACTTTCCATAGCCTGAGTGCATCCACTGAGGAAAGGTATCAGCGATCTCTGCAGGGCTTCGCTAGGGCTTTGCAATAGGTTTAATTAGGGGTGATGTGAGGCAGGATCAGAAGTGGTGATTTCACTCCAAAAGGCTCAGTCCTTTGCCTGGGGCACCTTGCTGTGCTCTGAAAAGACCTGTGTTCAAATGTGTTACCTTGAATGATGATGCGGCCCTGGTAGGTGTCTCTCCCTTTGATGTTTTCAGCCTCGCACTCGTAAGTGCCTTCATCTTCAAAGCCGACATCCTGGATCTGCAAGAGGGGCTCGCTGCCGATCCACTTGGAGGACTGCGAGCCGTCCAGCTTCCTCCACTTTATTCGAGGAACAGGGCTAAGGAAAAGTAGATGTGGTGAGGGCCAGCCCTTGGGTACCCCATGCTGCATTGCAGCATCGTTTACCTCAGTCCCCATTTAGTCACCCAGGTCCCATCCCAACTGGGCCAGCAGGGCAGGTGGCTTTAGCCAATTCCTCCCTCTTCCTATTCCCCCTCTATCTCTGGTCTACAGCAGACCCGTTGGAGGGAGGTGTTGTGAGAGTCACGGGTTTGGCAATACCCTCCCGGTCCCGAGCCGCCGCACTCACTTTCCAAAGGCAAAACACTCCAAAGTCACCATCTGCCCAGCCAGAGCGTAGGTGTCTGCAGGAAATCTGGCTTTTATGCTGGGTGCATACTGCCTGGCATCTGTGAAAAGGAAAGACACTGTTGTGGAGTTCTGGATGGCTTTAAAACGGCACACGTGAGGTCTTAAAGGGCAGAGGTACCTGCAAGGTTACGCTGCTTTCCAAAACCTCAGTGCATTTGGATAAGGCAACAGAGGCCAAGTTTTTTGTTTTTTGGGTTTTTTTCCCTTACTTTTAAAGGAGCTCTTACTAAAAGTCTCTAAAAATATCTTTATAACATCTCAGGACTGTTTCTCCTCAATCTCCCACCTGCTTAACTCCCTTTACCCTACCGAGGAAGTATCTTCAGCTGCACCTCTGCAAGGTCACCAGAGGCAGAGGAGAGTCGTTTCAGGGATATGTGAGCCGGCACCAGCTGCACCTTGTGCCACGTCTCTTTAACAGAGAAACCCCACTGATGGGGGTTGTAGCTGCACAAGCAGCGAAGTCTGGGAGAGAGAGCTGCTTCCCCCAACTTCCAAGCAATTAATATTTTTGTAAGCTCTTAAGCTCCCCTGAGAGGCCGGTGGGGGATTTGTTCACTGTTGGTGTCCTGTGGAGCCCGACTGCTTTGCGGTGGCTTATTAATTTTGCATTTTGCCCAGTCCCTTTATGATAATCCAAGAGCACTGACCCTCTGCAGCGAGGCTGAGCCGGGAGAACTTGCTGAAAACGCTCTTGGTGATGAAGTCGATGTGGCTGGTGGCAAAGCATGAATAGTTGCCCAGGTCAGACGCCTCTGTCTTGGCAATGTAAAGGTTTCCTGTCGTCTGCGAGATGAAACGCCTTCCATCAGCTGGGATGAAATTGGGAAACTCATTCAGGAGCCATCGGTAGGATAAGCCTGTGAGGAAGAAAGAAAGGCACAAACTGCACAAGTTGTCTCTGTCCTCTTGGGTGGGACTGAGCCCAGCAGAGTGTCTCCTAGAGGAGTTTAAGCTGAAGTTGGTCCTTGGATGGCACTGGTTTTCTCCACGTGCTAAGTCCTACCTCTGTTCTATTGCTTTACAAAGTCTGAATTAAAAGCAAATTGGCTCCCCTGAAATTCCCAAAGAAAAGCAAGGAGTGATTCGTATGTCTGGGAATCCCTTGCTCTGTTGCATCATGATGAGATGATGAGACTTTAAGCAACCTGGTTTAGTGGGAGGTGTCTCTGCCCATGGTAGGGCCATTGGAACGAGATGATCTTTAAGGTCCCTTCCAACTCAAGCCACTCTGTGATTCTGGGATCTTTCCACCTGGCAGTGCTGCTCCTCCCTGCTGGTGGCGATGCTGAAATGCAAATCCTTACCTGGGTAATGAGGGGGAGGGCTGCAGGTGAACATCACTCCCCAGCCTTCTGTAATCTTCACGGGGTCTTTTTTTTGAGAACTCCTGCAAAACTAAACATGCAAAGTGAAACCTGTCCGTGGATGGAAAAAAAAAACAACTGGAGGGATTACTGTGTTTTATCTCCCCTTCCACAGGCTGGTCTTTTCAGTGGGAGATCCAAAAATATTACTGACTTTCTTTGTAGCGCATTGAATTTCACCGCGCTTCCATGTTAATGGAAAGCGCCAGGAGATTTCTGCAAGGGGTGGTGTTGGGCATCGGGCACAGAAGAGCTTCTCTCCAACATTTATTAATGCAAGCGGGGGGCTCAGTTTACCCCCAGCCTAACTGTGGCTGCCTTTCATTTACCTTGTGGAGACAAACTTACAGCCAAAGCGGAGGGAGGCTTCTCTGCTGACCACTGTGCCCCTGGAGTTAGATGCCACGCACTGGTAGGAGCCAGCATCCTTGGCTTTCACCGGGTTGCTGATCACTAAGTCGCCTGCAACCAGCCTGTAACGGGAATCTGGCTCGGTCTTTAGCTCTGTGCCGTTCATCTTCCACCTGCCAAGAGCAAGCGTAAAGAGTGAGAGGGGTAAATACTCATTGCAGCACTCGTGGAGGCTCCGCTTATTTGTTTTTCCGGCTGCGGTGTGTCAGGATTTTAGTTAGATTTATGTCTGGTCTGTGGCCCGGGGGGGATGGAACATCGCGTGCGGACGAGGAGGCTGATTCCCCTGTTTGTGGTTTTCTTTACGTAAAAGTGGAGAACAGAAAGCAAGATTCTTGACGGTTGTGTCCCAGTCCTGGTAGAGGGAGCTCACCTGTAGGTCGCAGGAGGACTGGCTCTTGCTCGGCAAGAGAGCGTGACTTTCTCTTCAGCTGAGCCTTCGGGGAAGAGGGTGTGGACAGGCTGCTCTTCAAACACTGGCCCGTAGTTCCTCGTGCTGCTCTGTGCTTGGCACCAAACTGCAAGAGAGGGAAAACCTGCTCAGCTCGACTTAGTTTTTTTCTAAAAATTCTCATTTTTAGTTTTGTAGGGTGTCCCTGGCAGCGTCAGAACTGCATCTAGAATAAAAGAAGGAGCAACTTGAAAATCATAACCCATCTGTCACCACAGCCCAGCCCCAAACAGGGCTTTGGGCAGATCGCGTGTGTTTCCTAATGAGCATCTCGCACCATCTCTGCCCTGCCAGAGGCACCAGACTTGCTTAAAGATGAAGGAGGGCTGACACACGCCTCTTGGAGAACATGCACAGATGAAACTGGAGCTGGGAACCCCTGGATGCCCTCGTTGTCCCCAGCAGTGAGGACGTGCCGGTTCCTGCTCTGTTTGTACCGACTTTGGCTGGTTGGTTCCTCCTGAGTCCTCTCCAGGACAAGGGTGGAGAGAGGAGAACCTGGACCTTTGCAGTAAGATCTCAGCTCTGCCGCTGCCCTGCACGTGCCTGGCAGATCCTCTCATCCCTGCATCTGCAGCATCATCAGCTCTTGACGACTCAAACCCGCTGCTGGCTGGTGTGCAAACCCAACGCTGCAGGGCCCGGTTCTGCTTTGGAACTAAGCTTAAAGCTTCCTCTGAAGGGTTTGATTCTGGCCTCAGGCGTTGGCACAAGAGGAACGTAAGAACCTGCCTTCTCCTAAGCTGTTTCTGGACCATCCTTGGGTGTGGTGATGGTGTGTCACTGGGAGTTGCAGCTGTCTGCAGGGAGCGACTCTGTGTCTCTGTGGCAGCCCCCACTTCTACTCAAACTTTGTGGAAATGGCAGCGCAAATAAATAAGAGCAAAGCAGGAGCTGCCGTGGAAATCTCTTACCTGCAGAAGCGGGTGGTGGGATAACAACTGCCAGCAAGT